AGGACTCCTGCAAGAATTTTTTTGGGACTCCTCATGACTCCATGTTGGACTTTTCACTTTAGAAAGTTCCTGCGAGAGTCATCAGGACTCCTTACGATTCCTGCTGGAGTTTTTCATAAACTTGGGAGTCTCGACTAGGGATATTCGATGTATTTTTTTGCTGTTATAGGAGACCTATTTAAAGCTGGTAATCCTGGTCGATAATGTGACAACTGAATATCCATTAGCAATTATGTAAAGGCTTTTGCTCTGCAACTTCGTTGTATTCTTTACTCAACATTCGTTATTCTCTTCGTACTCTAGAAGAAACAACAATTAGTCGTAGCTTTCCATCTGATATTATAATTTCTGTGCAAGTACGGTTAAACCAATTGTTTTTGTCGACAAGAGTACCGGAGCAAAGCTGTTATTTAATGATTACATTAAAATCCACGGATCAGCGTCGGCTGAATGGAAATCACTCAAGATTTTAACGAAAAAACGAAGTCCATCTCTTTCCACAACAAATATGACTATGAAACATGAAATTGAGCGAACCTTTTTCTCTCAATTCTGTCTTTTGTCACGTTCACGTATATTTGATATTGTCTAAAAAAAGAATAAAAGATAAGAAGTTTTGATATGAAAGGATCTCTTAAAAGAAAGTGTTTCTTAAGGTAGTTGAGACGCTGATTTCACCATGTTTTACCCGGTTTTCTCTTCGGGAACATAATGCAATCAAGATGAATCGTACATTTTAGACTCGCTTCAAGGTTCAGATTAAAATGAGTACACAGCAATTTTAAATTAAATAAATGATTATTTAATTCTACTTCGAAAACATTAAAAAGCAGATATAAACTGCAAAAAGCTCAAATATAAAGAAATACGTGTCTTGTATAACAGACACTGTTTTTCATCTGGTTTAAAAATGAGAAGAAAAATGTGGATATCTTCAATCACACACGTGTCTGTCGTATAAGTATACAGAAATGAATAGACTTTATGCAAAGGAGACGTATATCATATTCTTTGCTTTTTTTCTGAATTGTAAAATACTTTCACGTGGTTTCTTCTTTCATGTCAGTGAAAATGTATGTGTACAGCATACACACTCAGAACGATATCTTTTACATAAAACATATCTTATTTAATACAATATATATCGAAGGATATTTGAAATATGCATATACTTGTATACCTGCATGTCATACAGGAAAAAACGAATAGTCGCTGCTGTTGACCGATGAATCCACGTTTTATCAGTCTATTTTCACTTAGAGACCTCTCTCTGATTATCTGTGTTGTCCGATCCTAGGAGTTTGCTACCATTTATGCTACCTCAAATGTATAACTTTGGTATTATAATGGATCTCAGAAATGCTGTCTGAATTTTAACATTCATTTTGAAAAATAAACGTTGCTCCCTAAAAAGAAAACTTTATCGTTTTATATATACGTTCGATACCGAAAGTGTGCCCAGTGTCCCTTATGCACAAAAAACGAAAATGGATACGGAAAACTGTGCGCTGTTACAAATAGCTGTCGAAACAAAAATAAATAAATTTTATATCGTTCTATTTTATTTATACGAGTTATTTCATTCCATCGTGAGTATCTGTATATTACGTTTAACTTAGCAGGCTATATTCGTTATTAGAAGAATCACTAAAAAGTCGTAATTAATCGGCGAGTTTTTATTGAAAGTCGCGATTAATCATGCAAACTGAACCGATGCGCATGAAGGCCATAAGCTTTTTTTTATCGCGCAGCCTTATCGTAGACTTGATCCAGTGGTAATCTTCGTAATATTTGAATATTTTAGCGTGCAGCTCCAAAAGAAGCTATGAAACTTATTATCATGGTATTCAATAACGATTCAATAAAAGTTAGCCCCGATCTTTCTAATGATATTGGACGTTTATTATCTTTGGATCAACAACTGGAACGTGGTATAAAATCGTGCAATGTTATTGAATTATCGCACTTATTTTATGAATATTATGACAACGCAGAAGGAAATCGAAATCTAGACAAGATAGCTGGTTTACGGTGGATGATGAATCAGTGTTTTCATCTCAACATGGACAAGACATGGTCCGTATATGACTGGTCACAATTTCCATTATCCACTGCTAAATTATCTTATGCGTGCAATGATGTAACATCGATGATGAAAATATATCGTTTTTTAAATCCGCATTATATGAATGATAACAATAATTCATCATATGAAAAACCAATTATCGTATCAAATCATACATCAAAGTTTTCTTTCGTAGAATGTGTCATGCAGGCTAAGTCTCATAAAGATAAAGCAACATCGGTCTTACGTAAATGGGGTAAAAGCTTCTTTCAGGAATACCGTTTGAAAATTGATTACATTGTAAATGCGATCAATCGACGTATTCCTCAACGATTTCGAGAACGACGTGATAATATTGAAAAGCGTGCTATGATCAATTGTGAACGAGGAAGATGGTGGCAACGCAATGCAGCTGTGAGACTTGCAGTGGAACCATTTATAGTGGCCGATATATGCGCGAATGAAGAAGTTCTTGACTCTAAATCACCAGGTGACTGGAACACACCTATTAGTTCATGGGACCCAAATTATTGTCACAAGAAATTTCTCGAATTGACTGGATATGAAAAAAGCAACTTCTGAGACGTGTGTTTTTATTTGATTTCCTTTTACCCATATAGTCTAGGCCATATGCTCTGGTGATGGTGAAAGTTTGATGAAACCCTTTTTTGTTTGAACTTTTTCGACTCTTTATAGCGAAATTCATTCTTATGGTCTATAGTAACGCTCTCATTGGCGCCATTAAGCACCAATGGTTACACTATGCAAGACGTAGTGTATCATATGTAACAAAATTTAGCGAAACTACACTATTTCTTGAGCTGAAAATATTAGAATTAAATTCAGCATGTTCCAGCTCGTAGAATAAGCGCAAAACAGATCAACGAAGCCACTTTTTGCACTAATTAAAATTAAGTGCGCGTAGATCATAGAAAAGGCGCCTAGCTTGAAAAATAATCATACTAATTAGCTGATTTTCTTTATGGAACGGCTAATTCGAGATACGCGCATATCTCAGAGAATCCAAGCGCGTATTTCAAGAAAAGTTATGCATTGTATCTCCCGCGTTTTCCAATGGGTTAAAATTCTTTTTTTAAAGCCTGATTACATCATGTTTTATTCAGACTTTTCTTCGAGAACATGATGTAATCAAGCTTCCCCATATAAAAATGTCTATGTGCAAACAAAAAGTTATTTTAGTGGAAAGCATGTCATGAAAGCATGCATGAAAAATGAAAAGTTTTGTTCTGCCACCCACTAGCCAAATAATAAATAAACCTCAAACTTAGCGTGAACATACAGTAATTTCGAATCATCACCTTTTTGCATGATGTTCCCGCAGAAAAAACCGGGTAAAACATCGTGCAATAAAGTCAATAATTTGATTCCTGCAGTTCTTTTAAAGTATAAAGATCAAAAGCGACGAACTATAAACAAGTTCGTTAAAAAGTGTAGAGCAAACGATAAACATTCACTTCACGTCTTGGTATCTTTCTCAGACGTCTGTCAAAACGCAGTTTTTATTTTTTACTATTAATCTTTAATTTCTATGAAAATTTTTTTTAAATAAAGCAGAATTGTTGGTTAGTTTCTCACTGATGGCGACTTCCATTTTCTTCTTATGTTCAGTCTTATTTTTATTTCTGTTTAGTCCGACTAATGTTAGAACTTTGTGAGGAAAGTCGAACTAACCTTTGAGCAGGATATTTCTGCGAAAGTCCAGAAAATGCAAGAAAAGGAACGCGGAATCAAAAATAGACAAGAAAATCGAAATTAATTTGATAAGTATATAAATTAATTCTCACTTTTGGTTTTGAAAGGATTCATACACCTAATAGTTGAGAATTTTTTATCTATGAAATCGTCAGCGTTAATGAGGTAATAAAATAAAAAGTTTATTGGGTTCATCTGGTTTTTCGTAAAGATATCGTAATGGAGCAATATGGTTAATGTTCAAACGAGTGACAGTTCGATGAAAATGAGCTTCTATATAGTCAATATTTCGATGAACAATGGAATCACTTAGCTCTTTGGCAACAAGACGTTCGTTAGATCCCTAAGAACACGGATGAACTAGGAAAAGTCCGCCTTCGCCTATAACTTCTTGTTTAATATCTGGCGAATCACCATTATGTTCGGATAAATCAAGATTGGCTACTAATTGACATTCTATACGTGCGAATTGTGGAGCCAAAGCACATGCTAGTCCATAGGCTTTCTGTTCATGTGCAATTATCTTAAGTACGAGTTTATGATAGCAATTAATTTTATCTACGAATTCATTTTCACCTTTATTAATGCATTCACCTATACTATTTCGAATTTCTTGTTTTCAAAATCTTGAAGAAACTCTCGAATATATTCTTTTTCATTCTCAATCTCACCCCGTCTCCAAGTTTCTCCCAGATTTCTGCCCTTAATTTTATCATACAAATACATAGAAGCAAATACAGGGATGCTTGCAGCAGTGTAGACAGGTAGGAATACGAACGAGATTACAAATTTGTCGACTATGTTCATCACATTACGATGACGAAGAAAAACATCCATATCGTTAGTATACTTTAATTATTTCTCGGTATGCTGCGTTCAATAATTCGTTCTTGGTACTACAAACTGATAATAACTGTTGATTGATGACGAGACTTGTATCATTGTTAGTTGAGCACAAAACTTCAGTGAACACTGGTTTGAATATTTCGCTTTCGACAGTCAATTCGAGAAATTTCTTGTGACAATAATTTGGGTCCCATGAACTAATAGGTGTGTTCCAGTCACCTGGTGATTTAGAGTCAAGAACTTCTTCATTCGCGCATATATCGGCCACTATAAATGG